ATCTTTCTCCGCTACAACCTGCGGGTAGATGCTACTGTGTGTTTTCTTCATTTGTTCAGCAGCCCTTCTGCACATGTTGCCTCTAAAGTTACAAGACAGCAATTTCCTCGGCAACTCCGTGATAAATAATTCAAAGCACCTTTTATAACTCGCATTACAAAGTATTAAAAGGCAACAGATGCAAAAAAAAAAAAAGATTAAAAATTAATAATTCAAATTATTGCAGCCCGGATATTTTTTCACACGAGCTTGTTTTGCTCTGCCCCGTGCTCTTCTGAGGTTATTTCTATCAGGGCAGTCAGATTTTACCTGTATTCCTCTGCGCAGAAGTGCGGGCGCCTGTGCATGCAGGCAGCCCTGCCGCCTCCGCACGGGTCCTGTTTTGCTGTCCGTGGGTCAGGAGCCCGCGCTCGTGTGCATTTTAATCGGTTACTAACATCTAGGTCTATAGGTCTAGAAATACATTTTAGGGAAGACATAAAATGTTGATTTCTTTTATTATATTTTTTTTTTAAATCGGAAAAATTGTTCACGAAGCTCACTGAGTGTTTTAAAAATCAGAGACAGTGAAATGCTGCTTTCGGCTGCCTACGTGTTCCGGATCGCACCGGAGGCAGAATTACTGCAATCGCGCCTGAAAGCAGGTCGCAGCTCCGAAAACTAAAAACAACGTCTAATGCACGGACTATTTGCTGTTAAAGGTCTTCGAGAATTAAACCCTACATTTTAAGCACCGTATCCTGGAAATCATTAGTTTGGAAACAGGAAGGCAGTTACCTACATTCACGTTTGGGGATCTGATCCTGGGTTTGCATTTCTGCGCCTTCCTTCTCACGGCAAAAACGGGATTTATTTTTTTTTAACGTGAAGCATTTCCATTTTATATCTTTTCGGTTTGTTTTTATGCAGCGAGCAGGGCGTGTCCTCAAAAGTTTCGGTGTCAAAAGTTACAAATTGCTCTTAATTATTCATTTCCTGACTCGAGATGCTCTCAGTCTCGGCTTTCTATTTGTATTTCTTTCTTTAATTTAAACGCGGGGATTATTTTCCCTCCGTGCGGTGCAATTAAAATCCCTGAAAATTCCCTGTTAAGGTCCCTGGCAAAGGGGTCTTTTCGCTTTCCTTCGGCCCCCTTCTATACAGAAATGTTCTTTAAAGTGAAAATGTATCACGAATGCGCTTTCCCCTGTGCCAGGAGCGCGTTTAAAATGCACACCGGGGATCTGGTGAATAAACCGGGAGGGATCGTGACTTCCTGGGAGCCCCCGCAGCCGCCGGGTCTCCC